CCTCTGCTCCTCAGTGCCGCCCCCACCCGACAGGGTGAGGGAGGTGGGGGGGGGGTATGTCTGTGCTTCCTGAAATCCATGATTACTTCCTTTTCTTTACGTTGATGCAGAGGTTATTTTTCCTGCACCAGTCCTCCAAGTGCTCCACCTCCTGTCTGTATGCGGATTCGTCATCATTCCTGATGCATCCCACCCCTGCCGTAGACATGACTACAGGGGGAACAGTCGTGGTATATCCACCCCTGATATCCATGAGTTTGACTGAACTGTAAGTCAGGCGCTTGTTCGCACAAGAAACAGAAATACTAGTTAAATCGGGCTTAATTCCGGGAGCTGGAGAAGCCGCTGCACTGTGACACGCCGCCATCTTGCATCTTTGATCAAGGCCAGACTCACAGGCTCCTTACTAACTCCCAACAGCGCCTTCCAGTGGCCAAAAAAAAGTTTGGTAAAGTTCACCCAGTTTCAGATGTTTATTTTTCCATATCAGTATAGAGCTTTATTTGAGTCACATTGCTGAGTTGATCAGCTTTGTCAATACCAAGAGTGAAGACATCCGCTACAGTTATGTTACAGAGTGTGAGCAAGTGTTAGCATGTGAAGCATAAACAGTCAGCCTACGTGAGTGTATAGAGTATCTGGGTGTTTGTTCATGTAGATCCACACCGAGAGTCAGATTAGTCTGCACTCATCCAAATTATATCTACACATGCTTAATATGGGGTTTATGACCATTTCCCTCCTGCATCTTTTCAGCCATGTTACTAATACGATCAAGGGTCAAGTATGTATCTGCAAGGATCCCAGTGTCCCATTAGCATCCCAGTGTCCCATTAGCATCCCAGTGTGTAAGACATAAATACAGAAGGATGTGTCCAGCACATACATGTACCTGAGGATTAAGTGGATTAGCTTAAATCAACATTTATTTTGAGTGCGTGTGCGTGTGTGTGTTCAGCTCTCGGTTATAATACAAACCCTGCTGCTCACAGAGAGAGAGAGAGAGAGACATTGTTAGTTTCTCCAGAGCAAATAAATGACAATATCTTTTAGAAAGAGAGAGACACACACAAACACACCTTATCATGCATGGTCCAGCCCATGTATTTCAGGTAGCCGTCATTCAGAAACGCATCACTGTACATCTTCATCCACACAACGATCTCCTTGATACAGATCGCCCTGATCTCTGCTTTCGCATCTCTGAAATCCACGCACGCTCACACGCACATACACACACACACACACGCACACACACACACACACACACATACACACACTCACGCACACACGC